TGAGTCTTCGCTATCTCTGGGATCGTTGTCAATGACAAGAAATGTTTGTGATATGAAACACTTAGAGCAGTCATCAGAGTATTTATCAGAACCCCCTTAGAGCTCGCATTTTGGATTAGACCGGTATGATCAAGATACGCACATTTTTAGCCTCTGGGAATAAGATACAATCTTAGCATGAGCACTAAGAAACTTTTAAAGAAACACAACAACTAACAGCATGTGCATAATACGTAACATGAAACTAAACAGAAAAGGAGTAAACAAATGATGTCTTTCTATATTAAGGGTGTGCGTGTGGTTAAAGGGAAGAGGTTTCACTGGCCTAAACACTGAATGAAAGCCTTGTCAAAATTCCTAATGTAACACTATACAGTGTAACTACTAACCGTAAGTGTAACTACTAACAGTAGTTATAGTTCTAAAAAGTTTATGCAATTACAAAACAAATCTTTTTGGATACAAATAACATGGCTTCATTCTCAAAATTGCTTTATTTTCCTATGCTAACTATTGATGAACTGGCAATAGGTTCTCAAATTTAAGAAGAAAATTATATAAAAACCACTTCAATCTACCTTTAAAGGAATTTAAAAAATTTTTTTATTATTTTTTACTCTCTGGAGCCCTTATTATTTAGATATTTATTGAGTACTTACATGTTCACTACATGAGTGTTACTTTATAATATGGTTTTATTTTTTAGAGGTTTATGCTATAGGGCGCGTGCGCTCGCCAGACAGAGACAGAGAGATAGAAAGCGAGAAGTCCCCTCCCAGAGGGATGGCCATGCCACAATCCCTTCTCCTCCATTCTCCTCTCAGGATCTTGGGCATGCACGCACACATGCCCGGCGTGAGTTTAAGCCACTGGATCTGGGACGCGAACCATGGTCGACTACGTGGGAGTCCAGCAACATAGCCATTACGCTAACTGCCAGTCTCCTTTATAATATGTTTTGAGGAATATAAAAGTGAGCTCCCCACCCTTAAGGAGCTCGGACTAATAACAAGAGATATGGTATTAGTCTAACCCAATCTGGGTGGTTGTTTTATAACATGACACATCACTTCCTAATATTTTGCTGAGTAAGTTTATATTTCTTTTACAGATCTTTCTTTCTTTCTTCCTTTCTTTCTTGTCTTTGCCACAGAATACATGCGCTTACTAGATAGGGGGAAAGTGAAGTGAGGAAGTGAAAAGCTCTCAAGGGGAATGGCCACACTGAAGCCATTCTCCTCTATTCTCTTCCTGGGATTTTGGGCACACATGGACATGAACCCTGTGTGATTTTCAAGCTGCTAGATCCAGGACTCGAACTGTGGTCAGTCGTGTAAAAGTCCAGCGCCTTAATCACCAAGTGGGCACCTCTCAGTTCTGGGTGTCTGTGCACTCTTCCTCCTGCCTACAGCCCTCTTTTCTCTCCCTTCTGGCTAGTTCTTACTCATCTTAGAGTTCCAGCATCCAGGCCATAACAGACCACCTCTGTCGATAACCTCTTGAATCCCTCTAGAGAAATGGCCTTTCCCTCTGGTAGTCTCACCACACTTCCTTCAGCGTGGTGTCTCGCTCCCAGCTTTATCACCTATAAGGTGAGAAGCCCTGCTGGGGCCTTCCTTTCTTCCAACTGAGACTGATGTGTAGTGACGTGACTCTGTTCCTTAAGCCGTCCATTCAGTTACATCCACTCATTATAAGAGCACCAAGGGTAACCTATGTGGCAGGAATTCCTGCTCTTTTTTTAAGAGAGATTTTTGCTATCAGGCGTGTGCAGTTGCCAGAGAGACAGAAAGACAGAGAGACAGAAAGCGAGAAAAACCGAGGGGGGGGGGTGGCCATACTGCAGCCCCTTCTCCATTCTCCTCTCGGGATCTTGGGCACACACGCACACGTGCTCAGTGTGAGTTTAAGCCACTGGGTCCAGGCCTTGAACTACATGGGAGTCCAGCGACATAGCCATTACGCTATCTGCTGGTCCCTCATAGTTTTTTTTAATACACAATTTCTATGAACTTTTTGGAACCCTTCATATTTCCAAATAGATATATTTACATCGTATGTATTTCCAGGTACATGTAAAAATAGGTATATGTATTATAACCCCCCCCAATACATTTGGAAATATAGTATACTTGCAGATGCATTTGGAAAGGGTAGAGCATATTTCAAAGGCTAGACTAGAGATTTCAGCCCTCAGCCTCTGAGGAAAAGGCAGCCATTTAGGGCTTTGGAGCAAAGAAGTGATCAAACACAAGTGCTTGGTAGGAAGGCCAGTGGAAATGGAGGAGTAAGAGAAAAGATACACTGGCAGAGGAAAAAGACTAGAAATTGGGACACCAGGTAACAGACGCTTCCTTTCAATCAGTATCTGTTGGACTCGAGTGTATTTCCTTAACAAGTTTTGGTGTGCTCCCTGGAAAACAAGGGAGGACAGCAGGAGAGGCCCTGCCTTGCCCTCTCGGTCTGGCTATTCTGCTGCAGGAGAGAGGCTGCAGATCCCAGCTGCTGGTGCCATCAGGAGGAAGAGCAGGCTTGCTTCAGAGTGGAGGCCTGGGGGGCAGGAGTGGACTGCAGGTTCAGGAGAGAGACCAGCGTGTGTGGATGCCCTGTGGCCACAGAAATCTGAGGAAGCAGGAAAGCTCAGTCATGTAGTTTGTAAGGGCTAGACAGGTCCTGCTGAGTGCTGTTGGCCACAGGAGAGTCTGGGCTTTATCCTGAAAGCAGTTGGAAGGTCTTGGAGCACTTTAGCCTGATCGGAATGGTGTTTGGGGGCTGTTGTTCAGGCTGACTTCTGGCAGTGAATTCAAGGGGCGGGAGCTGGCAGCCAGGAGACTAGGTAGGGAGCCATGCAGTCTTCATGCCATGTGTGACTGTACCAGGAGTGGGTGGCACCATAGGAAGAGAGGAGGAGGTCCAACACACAGGGGACAGGCCGAGTGGGCTGAAAACGCTGCCCACAGGTGGATGGTTGTGGAGATAGGATGACTGACTCTGGATACCACATTTCCCAGGCGCTGTGTCTGCAGAGACCTAATCTCCTCATTGCAGATACTTAACACATGCCATTTCCTTTACCCCCATCCTTACGTTTGCACCTCTGAACCAGCTCTGAACCAGAGCTTCAGGGGCTTGGGATCTAGATACGTAGCACGAGTTGAGCTTTTTCTATGTGCGGCTTGCAGAAGGGGAGCTCTTAGTGTCATCTGCATGCCTACATGGGGAATCCGGAACTCAGCAAGGGTAATAACTTCCGGAAGCAGCAGGGGTCCACGTAGTTTACTCATGGGTAGATCTTGCTTAAAATAAGGATCAATGTCGCTGGAAGTAATCACTCTTAAATCCACACTAGGACCTCCCCTGACCCCTACCAGTGTCCCAGAGTAGTTTCAAGTCTCCCCATGCCTCCAAGCCATCATCCCAGAATTGGCCAGCTGCAAGACTTTTGTTGCCTTTGCAGAAGCTTTGGTCGGGTCCTGCTCTCCACCCCCCTGAATCTAGGGGGACTGAAATCTGCCATCTAGTGGCCACTGCCTTCCTTAGTTTTTCACGCTTTTAAAAGAAAGGAAACAGAGTTCCCACATAGAAGATAGGCCTGCATATTTATAGCATCACACTCTGTAAACAGGAAACTAACTCCTCAGTCTCAGAGAAGGAGCCCAGCAACATAAACAGCATATTGCCAGTGAGCTTCGTTGCCCATTCAACAAACACCCGATTATATTTGCGTGAGTGTGTATGTCTCATTGGATCGTAAACTCCCTGAGATGGGTTTCTTTTGTCTCAATTGTCTGTGCTTCTCACTACTGAATCTCATGAGCCTAGAACAGGGGCATTAGCATAGCAGACATGCCTCAAGTATTCATCCAGTGGGGAATAAACAAGCACTTAGCATGTACCGCATCCTTACTGTATACCAGGCCCCTGACATGTACATTTTCCTATTCAGTCCTACGGACAGCTTGAGAGGTAGGTGCTGTTGGGTGCCCATTCTTCAGGTGCAGAGACTGAGACACGGAAGGGATAAGAAGCTGGCTGGGTTTGCAGAGACCTGGCTTTGGACTCAGGTGTTCTGGCTCTGGGGACCTGCGTTTCCCTACTGTACCTCGTGCCTCCAGGACATCTGGGTGCCAGGTTGGCTGCATGGCCTTGCCACCATTTAGACAAGTGGTAGAAGCAGGTCTTCTCCGGGGAACTGCCAGCCAGCCCTTCCCCCTTCCGTGTTCTGACTTTGTCGAGTAGAATGTTCTCGCTATGCCTGACAGAGGCCATCAGTGGAGGGAATGGCAGTAACTAGCTCTTGGCTGCGTGGCTTGCACAATGTCCCTGAACCTCAGCTTTCTCATTGGGTAAAAGAAAATACTGAGTTAGAATTCCTGCCTTCCCTTCCCGCTCCAACACTGTGCCTGTGACTCCCAGGGAGCCGGATGTGAGTGGAAGAGAGAGGACCACTTGTTACTAGGCAACCATCACCCGCCTCACCCATGTTACCATGGTGATGGTGAAAGTTGGGCTGATGGGATTATCAGCTCCTGCTAATTGCATATGAGAGCTCAAGGTCTCTGTCTCTTTCTTGCCCACTCTCTGACTTTCTCATTCTTCTAGGGTCTGTGGAGGGATCTTTTCCTCTCCTCCATTTGCAGCCTCCCTGAGGCAGCCCCGGTGCAATGGAAAACAACTGGCAATGGAACCTCCCTCTGCCTCTGAGTAGCTGTGTGACCTTGGGCAGGTTACCCAGCTTCTCTGGGCCTCTGTTTCCTCACTTGGAAAATGAAGGTGTTGCAATCGTGATCCCTGTCTAGGGTTCTTCCCGACTCTCAAATCCTTTGATGCCTAGGGAGTGTGTCAGGGGAGCAGACCACACTGTTACTAGGCAACCAGCAGGCACCCTGCCCAAGTTGCCTTGGTGACTAGATGCTGGAGGGGAGGGGAGTAGCTGCTGTAGCTAATTGCTTAATTATTTATGAGTGCCTCAAGTCCTTTTTGTTGTTTCCGTTGCTAGGGGCTGTGGGGTCACCTTCTCTTCCTCTCTCCTGCCACCCCAAGTCGTCTGCATTGCCTGTTACACACTGGGAGAGCACATTGGCCTGGACCTCAAGCTTCCTACGCTCTAGTCCCAGCTCTGTCATTCCCTAGAGCTGTGGCCTCGGGTAAGTCACTTCACCCCCCTGGGCCTCAGTTTCCTCATTTGTAAAGTGATGGGTTTGCTTAGATCATCTTCAAGTTTCTTTTCTGCCCTGAAATTCTAATTCTTGCTGACTAGTCGCAAAGTGGGGGAAGTGAGGGAATTTTTCCGAATTTGTTATCTTCTAAGAACGATTTTGAAGAGTAATATGAATAATTAATCTCTTACACATTTCAAGTAGGAAGAGAGTGAAAGTTTTGTCCAACATTCCTTCCTTGCCTCTTGTCCTAGATTTGTTGCCTAACCTCTTTTACTCATCTTAAGGCCTTTTAAATTTTATGTATTTTTATACTGCTTCCTTCCAAAATAGATTCAAAGGGCTTGCAGGATAAGGTACATTTATGTAATTTAGGTCATTACAATAGAAATAGGAGCAAATAGTGATTCATTTTCATTGTTTAGTATTGATTATGTGATTATATACCAGTGTAACTTTGAGCATCCTGGAAGCCAAAGCAAAAAGAGAGAGAAGTACATAATTGCTGATTAACAAAGAAAAACTGCTAGATTGTTGCTAGGTCTAAGTTCTGAAAGGAATTCATCATACAATACACACTATCTTTTACAGAAACTGCAGTTAGAAAATTTTGAAAAACCTTTCTTGCTGAGGGTATTGCTGTAGGACACGAGGAAGAAGCTAAAGTTGACAGTTTGATCAGTTCTAATCATTAGAAAGCAGAAACTTTCTCTCTATAAAGAAAATTCTCTCTTAGAATTTTGTAAAGGTAAATATAAAATTTTCAAATCAACCATTATTTATAAGCCAGTTATATATAAATTGATATATTCACTTTGCACAGCCATTTGGCAATATGGATCACATTTTAAAATACAGCCAACAATTCTACTTTTCCAGACTTATTCTGAGATAAGCTTGTGCAGACAAGGAAAGACATAAATATAAAAATGTGTATAGTAGCATTATTTATAAAAGAAAATGGCTAGAAATCACATAAATGTTGAGGGCTAGTGAATTATGTTACTTCATGATGAATTACCTTGTAGCCCTTAAGATGATGTGGACCTATGTGTTAGATATGGAAAAATATTGAAAATATAATGTTAAGAAAAATAAGGTACAGCATAAATGCTTCTATTTCTGTTATAAAAAAGATACAGACATACAATTTATAAATCTATATAGATAGTTGCATATGTGCATACTTGCATTTTTCTAGAAGGAAACTGTTAACAGTGGTTTCCTCTAGGCAGGAATATTGACGGTCTTGGAAGGGAGGGAGACCTGCTATCATGACCATTTTTACTATGTAGACCTGTTGGTTTTCCATTTAGAGAAGCAGGAGATCCTGGCAGTGGACAGTTTATTAGCTATGTGACTTTGGGATTAGCTTAACTCCTCTGCTCTTCATTTATAAAATGGATTAAAAGTACCTTCCTCATTGGATTGTTGTGAAAATTAAATGAGTTACTGAGAGTAGAGTGCTCAGGACACCCTAAATATACTAGGGGACTTCAGAAAAATTGTGGAAAGATGGAATTTAAGCACAAGTGTATCTTGGCACAAAAATTTTTTGAAATCATTTTTCTGTATAATTCTGTCATATTATGCATTTCCCAAGAACTTTCTGAAGACCCCTTTCGTGTATCCTCTTAACAAATAAAAGACGAGATTAAGCCACAAAAAGAACGTAGCTACCCCAAAGGACCCCCACTATCTCAGTGTTGCGAGGACTTTGTAAAAGATGTCACTGTTCCCAGCATCGTGTGTGGTAGAGAAGTGAGGTCTGATGCAGGGATCGCAAAGTCATGGTGGTGTTTCCATCATCGTCATTTTTATGAGACTTGTAGGGAGAGCACCTACCCTCGATGTTGTGAAGCCCCTGGACTGTGGTGTATTGCCTCTCTTCCTGTCCGCCCCAGTGAATGCTCCAGTCAAGAGCAGACGGTTCGGGGCCAGCAGTTAGCGTAATGTCTATGTCGCTGGACTCCAATGTAGTTGACCACGGTTCAAGTCCCGGACCTGGTGGCTTGAACTCACACTGGGTGTATGTGTGCATGTGTGCCCAAGATCCCGAGAGGAGAATGGGGGAGAAGGGATTGTGGCGTGGCCATCCCCCCTGGGGAGGGGATGATTTCCTGCTTTCTGTCTTTTTGTCTCTGTCTGTCTTTCTGTCTCTCTCTCTTTCTGGTGAGTGCACACGCCCTATAGTGAAAATCTCTCCAAAAGAAGAAGAAGAAAAAAAAAACATGGCCGGTTCACTTGGCCAGGTGGAAAAATCTGTGAACTCTACAGTCAGGAAAGGACTACCCAGACATTCAAGTCTAAAGAGAACCCTCGTGGCCAGCCAGTGGCATGGTGGTTAAGGCAACTGCCTTGCACATGGTGGAATGTGTGGTTCAAGTCCTGGCCCCTGGAGGCTTGAGAAATAAGCTGTGTGTGCGAGCATACTCCAAAGGAGAAATGGAGAAGGGGTTGCCGTGTGACCACGTCCCTTGGGGTGGTGCTTTCTCATTTTCTCTCTCTTTTTGCCTCTCCCTATCTCTGGTGGGTACATAAAAACCTTAGACAAAATTAAAAAAAAATTTTTTTTGGCTCATGCTTCTGCGTTGCTTTTGAAAAAGAGTGTGACAGAGACCTGGGGAGGGGCTGCGCTAGGAGGGACCCATTTTGGAATGCTTAGGAACCTCATGGTCACCGGGACTCTGGGTGCTCAGAGGGCAGAAAGCAGAGGACTCTGTGTTCAGAACTGCCCACATCCCTCCTCCCAGGCCTGGAGAACCTTGGCTGACTGAGAACTCTCCTTTGAGGTTGGCCACATTGGGGCCAGGCGGTGTCCCTCACTGCGGGCACATGACAGCTCCAGAGGGTGGAATGCAGGCTCTGGTCCCTTCAAATCAGCAGAGTTGTGAAACTCGCGCTCACCGTGAGGAATGCCAAGCTGACCTGCTACAACCTCATACCCTAGCCGGGAGTTCTCCTGTCCTTCCTTCTGTCTGTCTGGCCCTTTGTTTCTGCCCTCCTGGGCACGCGAGGCTCTTTATCCATTTGGCCATCAGCTCTCCTCTCCATCTAGCTGTCACATCCAACTGTGCTCCCATCTGCCCTTCCATCCCGTCCATCCCTCCTGTCCTCCTCCTGCCATCTGCCAGCCTTGCCATGCATCCTTCAGAGTGCTGGTATGTCTGTCCACGCTCCTCCCCTCGCGACCTGTGAGCCCAGACTCCGTGCACTGCCCCACCCACCCCTCCACCTGTGCCAGCCTGCCTCTCCATCCCGCCACCTCCAGACTCTTCCGCGCCAGCTCTTCCGCCCCGCTAGTCTGTCCGGGACCGCCCCTCTCGGTCAGTCCTGGTTCCCCTGGACCCGGTCGCGCCAGTGCCCGCCCACAGGGGGCCGGCCTGCCTTTGTTCGCTGCCCCGTCCGGTGCTCCGCGGCCCAGCTG